GTGAAGCTGAGCCGGCAGCTTCCCGGGCATCTCCAGGCAGCGCCCGCCGGCAGCCCGGAGCTGGGTGAAATTCAGGCGTCTTCAGAGAGGGGAGGAAGATCCTCGTCTTCCGAAGCCTCCTCAATGAGTGCCAAGCTCTCCAAGGAGTTGAGGCTGTCCGTGCCACCTTGTCTCCTGAACAGGACGTCTGCCACCTTAAACACCAGCAGCACCTGCATCACGCAAGTGGGTCAGCTCTTCCAGTCCTTCTCGTCCACCCTGGTTTTAATTGTGCTGGTCACCCTCATCTTCTGCCTGATCCTCCTCTCCCTCACCACCTTCCACATCCACAAGAGGAAGATGAAGAAGCGGAAAATGCAAAGGGCTCAGGAGGAGTATGAACGGGACCACTGCACCCGCAGCAACAGCAGCAGCCAGCACCCTGGGACTGGGATGCAGGGAGAGGCACCCCACGGAAGAGACAGCCGGCTGGGAAGACCCCCCAAGGACTCGGAGATCCAGCGCCCCACTCCCTCAGCAGCCCCGAGCTCCCAGCAAGTACGGGCTTGTTTGGACACATCTGGTGCAGGGCTCTTGCAGACGGTGGTTTTGTCATGATGGTTTGGGGGAGACCTCACGAAGGTGCTGGTTGGTGTTTGTAAATACCCGAGTGATTATTCTAGTCCCCGAAGAAGAAGAAAACATTGCTAATTCAAACGAACGAACAAGCCCACAAGCCAAGCGCATGACAGATCACATTGCGTTTCTCATTGACTGTGCGAGGAAAGGATGCGCCTTTTTACTGGAGAAGGAGCTGCACACAGCTACCAAATGCCAAGTCGTCCACCTGGAGGAGAGGGTCAGGGGTGGGGAGGTCCCCGGGGGGGTCCCTTTTTCCCAGGACATCATTACACAGAGGACCAGGATGATCCCATTCTCTTGGGATTCCCGCTGCACCCTGTGTCACCATTGCATGGCGTGGGTTGGGGCGTGGGTGAGTGGTGTGGGGGGCGGGCAGGTCTGGTGGGTGCCTTGGGACCCCCTGTCCCCTTGGAGCAGGGCGACAGCCCATTGTGGTCTCTCCTTTTATGCTAGGACCTATGCCCCTGTCCCACCCCTCTCACTCCTTTCCGGGACTGGATATTATTTTGTGTATGAATGACCACCCCTAGTTGGGCTTAACTGCAAGCACCCCATGGCCCTGTGCCCCCGACTGTGATGCCGAGCGTCCCACTGTCTAGCGGGGATGGAACCAGCTGCCTGCACAAAGCAAAGCCTGAGCTTTCCTCTCCCCTCAGCTCCCCTCGTCTTCAAATGCGCCCCCCCAATCCCCATCCCCATGCCATTAAACCCGTGCCCCATACCGTTTTGTGTGGCAGGGCGAGGAGATGTGCGGTAGCTTGCTTGTCCTCTCCCCGGGGAGGGTGTCCTTGTACCTCCTGTTGGTCCTGAAACAAGTCCAGTCCTGCACCAGGCACCCCGCACTGAATGCCTGCGTTTGCAGCTTCGCCTCCCAGCAAGGAATCCTGCAGCAGTACAGAGCTGGCTTCTACTTTTTTAGGCTGATATATATTTTTAACCCTCCTAATCCAGTAGACAGTTAGGGACAGGCAACACTTAATTTTCTCCCCTTTCCCCTCTTGGGGAACAAACCACGCAGCTGTGCAGGATGTCTGCTCCTAAACCGTGGTAGATACTTATTTCAGAAGTGGCTGGTGTAGTTTCTCTCTAGCAAGCACCAGGAGTTTTTTGTCTGTGGATGGCAGGTGTGAATGGCTGCCAGTACTGTGTGTGTTGGAGGAAGCAGTGGTGGGTACAGAAAATGTGGCTTTGCTTAGCGATTAAATCAATAACCATTACTTGAAGGTGCCTTAAGAGTGCCATATCCAAACTTGGAAACATCTTGTGTGGTATCATAGCAGAGGCAACCCTCTGCTGTGCATATTAGCATCTAAAAAAATACAGCAAATAAAAAGTGACCTGAGGGATTTCTTCTTTTTTTTTTTTCTTTCTATCCTGGCATTCAGAATGATCAGAGGAGATAGTAATGGTCCACGGCTTTTAATATTTTGTATCCGCTTATTCCCTCTCTGCTGTACTCTGTCTCCCAGGGTGGCTGTTAGGTTAGAAAAATCCCAGGCACACACACTGGGAAGTCTGGGGCCCTAAGCCAGGAGTGAATGCCACTAACCGATTTAAAACATGGAAAGAGGGTGGCAGAAGTGCTCCTTAATTCCCTAATGGCCCCAAAATGCAGAGGTTTCTGAGCAGTGTTTCTGTTACCCAGTTTCATCGCTTTCCAGTCTTGCCTGGTCTGATGGGAAATTGCCGTTGAGTTTGGATCCGTGCCTCCAGCGTTTTAGGCAAGTACTGTATCACCCAGCTCAAGGAGCTGCTCCGCCAGCTGAGGTTAGTGTGGCAAGCGTACCTGTGGCCGAGTGGTGTTCTGCACATCGCAGTTTGGTGGGAGGGGTGGCTGACTCCCACTGCCAGCCGGTATGATCAGATGCTGATGGCTACTTTGTTGTTGCTAGGCAAGGAAATTAGCTTCGTTTTGTTTGCCCTACTAAAGGATGCATGAACTTTTGTGTTTAACCTCCTTATGCAACTGCAGCACAGTATTGCACCACAGGGAACAGATGTAGGACAATGAAGAGTGTTCAGTGAACAGTAATGGAGCTTCCCAATTGTTGATCTCCACTAAATAGAGAGATATTACTTTCCCCTTTATTTTGTGCCTTTAAAAAAAAACAACTAACAAACCCAAAACCAACAATGTATAATTTTAAGTTTTATAAAAGCAATAAGATGTTCCAAATCACTCCAGTGCATTTCTGGTTGATGATTCCACTTCTTTAGTGTCTGAAGTCAGATACTCTTCCTTCTGCCTTATGCACTCAAGGCATGCAATAATTCCCCAGAAGTGTACTGCTTGTCACATCTCATTGCAGTTATAAAATTGCCCTATTTTTGAAGAAAAAAAGAAGGATGGAGAGATGATAGATATATATATCTTTATATATTTTATTGATATACAGGTATATATATTATTTATATAATCTCATGACACTAAAAGTAGTTGCAAAAATGTAACTAGAATTAAAATGTTATCATGTAAAACTCTATCCTCTGTTAATTAGCTTTGATTTAATATTTTAATATCTCTGTATTTATGTAAATCTGTGTAAATTATGTGGTCTATAAGTAAAATTTCATACTGACTTTAATTTTCTCAGAACCGTGAGCTTCTTGTGGTGTCATTTAAGGTTTTTTTTTGTTTCTAAAGTTAAATTATATGAGATATGAGAAGTTATAAATTCCTATTATCACACAGAAATACCGCAATAAGGTTCATGCGTACTCCCAATACACAATCCTATCTTGAAGTATTGCAAGCTTATGAGGTTTAATTGAATGGTCTCAGGAGATCTAGCTGATACAAGCAGGACGTACGTTTTCATTTTCATGAAACAATAAGCAATCTAGGGAATAGATGTGGATTTTTAAAACAGAGTTTATGCTTGGAGGTTCTGTCAAATCAATTGCTTCAAAACCCTACAGCTACAGCTAAACTTCTGTACTTAGCATTCACTATTAATAAGGCTGATACTTCTTTCCCCTCCCCCCTCCTACTTAAACTAAAAAAGTGTAGGAAATTGTTCATATTTCTAAAGCATACATTTTCAGCTAACTGTGAAACTGCCCACAGGGTTTTGAATATACATATTTTATGCAAGTGTAATATCTATGTATCTGTATCCATATATTTAAATATTTTTGTGTAACCTTTTCTACAATATTTGATAGAGATGACGGGTAAATGCTTGTACCATTCTCGTACGTAAGGAAAGATTTATACCCTCTCGATGCGGACATTCTTTTTCCTGTGAATTTGCGCTGGTTTCTGCCAGTTACGATGGAGACCGGGCAGCTGAGTGCTGACTGCTGGAAGAACAGACAGTCTTTCCCCTGTTAAGGGGCACAACCTTCGCCTGGGTTTTCCTGGTTCTGAATAAGAAATTGGGGCTGGTTGCCCGCTGGCATCCTGCATGTGTAAGAATAAGAAGTGCTGTGGCGCTCAACACTGGTCCAGCCATCGTCCCGTGGAAGATGCACGACAGCAGTGACTTGTTTTGTAGAACCTGGTGAGAACTGAGAGTCCGCTGGGCAATGCGGTGGCCGTGCTGGGGCTGGATCGGAGAGTCGGCGATGTCTGCGCTCCCGTCCTTGGAGCCTGCTGCTGCTCTGGGGCTGCGTCTGTCCCCCGCTGGCGTCAACAGGAGTGGCTCCCACTGACTGCCAGGGGACTGGGATCCCGTCTGTAGTCCACATGGAGGGTGGCAGCTCTCCGCATCACCACCGCTGGCCCTGCTCTGCGCCCATCCCAGCAGCCTCCACGGGGATGGAAACCACTGCACCCCACGAGGGCTGGGGTGCTTCAGCCTGGCAGCACCGGGGAACCCACGCTGCTGCTGTCAGCTCCATTTCTACGTACTGAGATGTTTCGATTTCTACATGGATCCTGTGTGGATCGTGGACAGGGAATGTAATTTCATTAAAACTTGTCATTGCAGCATTTTTTTCTGTGGGGGTTTGTGTACTGCAAATGTAGTCTCAGATGAAATTTGCAGGCTCTCCATCCCGACATGTTTCAGCTTTTGATACATCTCTCTCAGACATATATCTATATATATAGATATATATCTTGAAAGAAATGCTGGACAAAAAACAGAGACTCCACATTTTAGACAAAACTGTCCTATGACTAAAAAATGGGGGATTTTTTGCTTTTATTTTTAGTTAATTTTAGCAGCTACTATCTTTAATGTAAATAGCAAGTTGCTATGCGATTAATGTTTCCCACAGCATTTCTAAGTAATTGCTATCTTGTTTCTGGAAAGCTGTGTCCAGTGTTATGAAGCAACTGCGCTTTTCTTCTTCTATTGTTATGAGTGCAACTTTTATGTAGGGAGGAAAAAGAACATGATTTGGCTCCTTAGATAGGACTGAATTATTTTCAATCCAATTATAGGACTTGTTTGCTTTTTCTTCTTTCTAGTGGTTACTCTCTGCACGTTTGTATTTTTTCTATGGGTAGTTGAAACCCTACATTTTAATAAGTATGCAAGATATAAAGGGAAACACAAAAAATGAAGTAGGAAACTTTCTTTTTCCTCTTTTGTGTAAATAGCAAAATTTATAATGACTTAGATACCATTTCATTGCATTTCTCATCTACAGAGAAGTTGGCATGACTCATATACAAAACTTTAATAACGCTTTCATTTACATTAAAAATTAGAACTACTTTTATCCAGGACTGACTTTCTCATCTCTTTCTGGTATCTAACTCTTTTTTTTCCCTGAAGCCAAGTTTTCCAGCTGATCACTAAATAAATTTGTAGTAGAACAGAGCCTCCTTCTGTTTTCAGTCTTTTACATGTAGATCTCTGGCCTGAATCCAGCCAGACTCGATAGTGTGGAAAGTGTGTTATGAACTTGCAAAAACTGGGTGGTGTGTGCACCTTGAGGAGAGAGGTGACTGTCTGGCAAGCAAACAGGTGAAATGCCTGGCAATGGTAGTAGCTAGCTTTCCCCTTCGGAGTTGTGGGAGTGAGGCTTCCGCAATCCACTGGATGGACCTGAGTGAAGGGTGACCCATTCCAGCCACAGCAGA